CCAGGAGTTACTAAGGTAGTTACTTGCGTGATTTATGGCCGTCCCCTTTCGTAATTTTTCGCAATTCTTTCTGCGACTAGTAGTTCAACTCTGTACTGCTATACGCACTACCACGGGTTAATAGAGTAGCTACTTCCCTAGGAGTCGGTGCAATAGCGGTAAATTACTCGGAAGAGTTTCAAGGACCTTTATATGTATGTCCGAATGTGAGGTCTCTCCAGGGCTGGATCGCATTTAACGTGGAAGTATTGCAACTAGTTAGTTAGGAATTTGCCAGAAAGATCTACCGGTGGAAAGTGTAAAACTAATTCCAGCACTTTGGTAGGACTCGAAGGAAATGTTTCCATGAGAGTCATGGACGCCGTCCGCTATACCCGTTCCATTTTGGCTTTGGATAAAGGCTTGGCTAGCGCGGCAACCAGACGGTGCCACTGTGAAACAGGATGAGTCATAACACAGCTGTGTCCATTCAGAATATGATGTGTGGTTTTATTTAGTCCCCATTGTTCACCCATCTGTAGACGTCTTGAAGGCGTATTGGGCGGCATTGACCCTTTTTTCGAAGTTTCGATTCCACTCGAGTTTCCTGTGTTCTTGCTTCGTATGTATTTCCTTATACATACTATCTAGTGTTCTAGTTGCCAGTCGGTTGCAACAAAATGATCCTACTACACATAAACAGAGGTTTCAGGGAGACGATTAGAATAGCGATTTACATTTAAATGTTCAATTTCTTAAAACCCAAACACTTTTTGATCTGCCCTCGCAAACTACATACGCACAAAAAGCTGAATCTTCGATTGCAACGCAGGCATCGGCCACGCGTTGACCGTCTGTCTGCCTATCGTTGCGGTTAAACTTTAAAGTGACTGCCTGACTGAATGGTTGCCCGTTTGCTACTTGGATGGCCGACGGTATATTTGAACTCTAAAAAGCTTCTATACATAAAATTGAGCATTTAAGTGTTTATGTAATTTAATCACGCTTCCATTTTTTAACTAATTACCACATACTTGACGTTTGGAAAAAATACGAGTATAAAATGATTACAATTCCGCAAATACTTGTGGTGAAATAATTAAGAAAAAAAAAAATAATAATAATTGCTGATGCAGGGGTGTTGAAATTTACGAGTTGGCTTTTAAAGTGATATTTTTCCCTCAACAAAAGCAAGTGCATATTAATGAATAAAGTCGCCAATGGTGTCCCTTAAAAAAACAAAAACGGCTTTGTATATGAAACTGCTGGTATGGCACGAGAAAGAATATAGCCAGCGAAACAAAAAAAAAAAAACTAATGCAGAGGGAAATGGCCTATCAATTAAATTATTCGTATTTGACTGTGCAGTAGTCTAGGAGGGACATATGTATGCAAGTGTGTATGTATGTTTTACGGTGTTCGCATGCGGCGATTTTACAGGCAACTTTTAGTTGAAAGCAACAATCGCGTGGTGTGAAAGGCCTTTCAACTAATCGTTTCCAATGAAGTTGGGGTGCAGCCAACTTTTGATTCAACTAATCGCCTCTAAAATTGCCTAAAAAATCGCCTAATGCGAACACCGTATTTGTAGTATAAACAAGTAATTTTTAGCAAAAAAAACCGACTTCAACTCTCATATAAAAAAAAAATATATATATATATATCTCGTGATCCACTGATCGGATCTTAACCAGATTAGTATGGGACCACCGAATCATCGAAAAAAAAACAAAAAAATATTCCGACGAACTGATAACCTCCTCCTTTTTTGGAAGTCGGTTAAAAAAAAATATTTATTTGTATGAATGCGGCGGACGGATAAGCAAAAGTTGTTCTTTACTACTAAGTATACATCACTTTCGTGTGCCTTAGAGCGAGAACTATTAATGCATATGAATGCCTAATGTGTGCTTATATAAATAGCTAATGGATTAGAATTTATTGCAGCAAGAACGCCATAACCCCAAAAAAAATATTATATTTTAGGTGAATACGCAGAAATGGACATCAAGCCTTCCTTAATGTTGTGCAAAAAAACTTGTAATGAAGTCAGTCAATTGGGTCTCAAAAGTAGAGGTTTTTGTTTTACGAAATTACTGATTTTTAATTCTTTCGGCAAATAAAGTTTGATTACAGCTCGATTCTATGTTTAGAATGAATCATTTTTGGTGATGCATGGAGAACCTCAATGCTCTTGCTGAATACAATAACATCCAGCTACTAGTAGTGGGTACCCACCAGGTCACAAGTGAACACAGCGAAACGTGGTTGCGGACGGCAAACACAATTAGGGTAGAGCTTAAGAAAGGAACAAAAAGAAGGAGGGAATAACAATGGCAAAGTGTATAGTGATTCTAGCGTGATTCAGACCTTTGGCAGAAATTATTTGTAATATGTTAATAGTTGCGATCCCGTACGAGTCCGGACTAGTCAGAATCAGTCAGATTTTACCGGAAATCGATCCCGTACTCGGTTCTCTGACTACTGAGCGGACAAATAAGGTCCCCTTTCTGTCAGAAGCTACGCGTTTTAGTCCGAAGATTTTTTGCTGGTATCTAAATTCAGGTAAATGTGTCAAACCATCAGCTGTAGTGTGTTTGGCAACCAAACTGTAAACAAAAGAAAAGTGCACTCCGCTATTTCATGTTGGAAAGTATTTAATTACTTGTTTAAGTGGATTCTAATGAATTTGAAAGTATTTTTGGTCAAACATGTACTGAGTGTGTTAACATACAAAATAATCAAAAATTTAAAACCAAAATTTGGAGGTTATGTTGAAGTTGACAGAACTTACAATTTTTTACTAGAAAGCGATCCCGTACTTTTCAATGTTACTCTCTTGCTCTGAACGAATTTTTATTTTTTGACAGTTTTACAAATTTTAGTCCGAGAATACGGGATTGCACCTAATGTGTGATTTTTTCAGTTTTTTTCAGACAATTTGTGTCACAGGCTTTGACAAACTTTGCTATATAGTGGTACTCAGTTGAACAACGCGTAAAACGTTTACGAAACGTTTTGTGAAAATAGTCGCTCTGCAAGAAGTGCATCTCGAGCATTGCGTGACTTTTCGCTCAACATAACCGGTCATATGAGACAACAAGCAGCCGTTAAGTGCAGAAGTGTAAAGAAACTGGGTCGGTGAAAAATGTGGCAACGCCCGTGCGTCTTCGTAGAGGTCGTTCAATTATGTAAATTCAATGAAAGCTTTACTACACCACAGTTCAGCGGTTTAAAAAAAAAAAAAAACCTACTGTGTCAACAAGTCAGTGATTGGTGTAGTTTTTGGACTGACGGAGGTATCGGGCCGTACATCTTCGAAAATGATGCCAGTAGTTACGTTGAATGGCCAATGTTATCGTGCCATTTCATTGCCAGAACTAGATGGCATGGACTTGGATAATATCTGGTTTCGACAGAACCGTGCCACTTGCCACACAGCGCATGAAATAACGGCTCTATTGTGAATGAAATTATTTCACGAAACCGCGTACACCACTGTACTTCCCTTCTCTGATGCTATGGAGAAAATTATGGTCTACGCCAATGAGTCCGAGACGGTTTCAGTGTTGAAGAACAAAATCATACACCAAAAAGTCATGGAAAATTTTGATATGCACATCCTGTGTTGCCAGAGGATTCGTGGGGGCATTAAACGGATATTGGGTTTCCCCATACATGTGTAGTAAATCCCATAGACTAAAAAATTATTTCAATAAATTTCGTTTATGTTAATAAAAATAGAATCTGCAGTCTTATTGAATCACCATGTCAGTTCAAACAAGTTCTGCTATAGGGGTGCCAAAAAAATTTCAGATCTACTTAGATCCTTTTGATTCTAACCCCTTCAATTATATTACCTTAGAACAGATAAAATATATAAAATATTGGTGTTGGAAAAATTCTTTTTTTAATCGATTTTATTTAGCTTGCCCTGTTTGGGTAAAATCTTCTTATTGGATAAATTAAAAAAAAATTTAAAAATATATAAGTAAGAATCTGAGGATGCATAACACTTAAATGGCGTATGTAGTTTTACAGTTTGGGATGTTTTGATTGACCCTAGATATATCTTTATATTGCCACCAAAAGAGAACACCTCCTGTTCTTACGTGGCATTCCTATGGGGAAATGAACTATCGATGCGCACCTCTTAGAATTATCGTGAATAGGAAGGATTCATGGAGAATTATTACTAAACCGAATACTAAAGTTTGAGCCAGTTTCCGGATGCATTGCAGGATTCTTTTTAGCTTGAACCAATGTACATCTCTTTACATGTATGTATACATACACGTTGAATTAAATTCGTGTTTCGTTTTTTTAGTTTTAATAAAAGTACGGAAGTACACTAAATATTCTTGTTTTATCAGCAATAATATTTTACAAGAAAGACTTATAAAAACTTAATACATTTAAGATATGCAATGAATAAAAGAAATAAGAATAACGGAATAACGGAAGATGTGTAATTAATGCAAATTAGAAACTACAAGAAACTCATGACTTCCGTCATATCAATTGGCTTAGTGTCAAATTTTTGTCTTTTGGTTAAGAGATCTCGAAAATAGGTTTTCTAAATCGCACCGATTTCAAATCGTATGATATGCAGAACATGCCTAATATATTGTACTGAAAATTCGTTTTAATCGCCATATCTTTAAACCATAAATAGCCATCTCTCTGGTAGGGAATACATTCGCTCAAATGTCTCATTTATTTAATATTCAAGTGGAATTAGTGGATTTTAATATTTTAAAATAGTAATAGTAGTAGTAGTAGTAGTTTTAATAGAAAAATTTTCTAGTTTTTCGAGTCTTTGTACCAATTTGAGCAAATCGCATTCTTCTCACAACTCATCCAAAATTGCCATCAATGAGCTGAGATACATATGTACATACGAGAGCAACCACATCAAGATTGATTGTAAATTGCAAAAATAATTCTCGACTGCTTTTTGCAATTCTTGCAGTACATACTAAAAAATTCTTATAAAATTTTAAAAAATATTTTCAGTCAACTTACCGCATAATTTTTCTTTTATTGTTGGGATGTATGCGATTTGCCGAGTCCGGATCGATTTTCCGTAAATGGTTATGCAACAATTCCGATGACATGGCATTCATTTCAGCAACAGGCATAAATAAGGGCTAAAAGTAGGAAAAAAAGGAATGAATGTGAAAAAATTAACGATATAAAGCATGTTAACGGGCAGTGTTTTAGTGTAATTACCGCACGTTGAATACTACACCCCGCGTCATAATTATATATGTACCAAAATTTATCAAATTATTACTTTTTGTTACTTAATTTAAGTTATTTTTAACAAAAAACGTATAAACTCAAGTTTAAAATGAAGTATTAAAAAAAAATACTTTGGTAAATATTTCGAGCTTTTTAGTTTTACCAGCTTTAAATTGTAAATCATTTCTTATTTTCTCCAAATTTCCATATAAAATTCAAAAAATTAAAAGCATTTTTTACTTAAATTGCTTTCGTGAAATTGGCTGTTAGATTTCTTAGAAATAATTAGGGTATGCAGTTTTAAAATACATTCAATACAAGCAGGTTTGAAAAGGACTTACGTAGATTTTTGGCAAGTTTTCTGCTAAGTTTGGTGCATTTTTTTCCGGAAAAAATTTTCAGGAAAGTTTATTGATTTTTTTTTTTTTTTTTTAAGTAAGAAAAGCTCTCAAAAAAGCAAATTCGCTACAACGAAAAAAGTGTTTGAAAACCGCATAAATTCAAATCCGCATCAAAAAGAACCGCATAAAAAGAGACCTAATACCATGTCCCCACCGGAGCTAACCACGTAGTTATGGCTGTTGAGTTGGTTATCCCGATAACCCACTTCATTTAGCGTAGTTTCGCCATATAAAAATTACAGCACTTAACCATTTCACTGAGATGGTTATACCATGTCCCCACCGGAGCTAACCACGTAGTTATGGCTAATGAGTTGGTTATCCCGATAACCCACTTGATTTAGCGTAGTTTCGCCATATAAAAATGACAACACATAACCATTTCACTGAGATGGTTAAAAGCTGACCAACTCGAAACCACGTCGAAAGTCTGATACAACCCTGTGTTTTCCCGCCATCTGTGGGTCATTAGCGTTAAAAAATTCGTTCCTTACTAGTGTTTGGACTTAAGTAAGATCAGATTAGATTTACTCCGGTTTTTGAAAAAATTTGAAATCTACCCCTCTACTCCGCTTGACATCAAATCTATTCCGTTTTTTTTTTTCATTCATGTTATGCCCCTCTTGGGGCCGTTTTTTGAATGTTCACCACCGGTTTCAGTAAAAAAATTTAAAGTTAGCCAAATCTCACTGTTAAAAGGAACTCTTTCATAGCAATGCGTCAAATAAGTTATTTTTTGATGTATGGCTGTATAAATTGGCGGATGCAGAACTTTACTTAAGTTGTTAAAAAACATATGTAGAATGAAATTTATATAAAGTCGAAAAGGTTTCGATTCTATTGCTCTTTAAAAAATTAAGTGTTAGAAACGTTCTACTTTATAGAAAATGCTAAATATTACCTAAATATTTAACATATTATCCTTATATTGCCTCGCGTTCTTATTTTTGCATGAATAGAAAATATTTAAGTCAAACAATTAATGTCAGAAACGAAAATAAAAAATTCAATCTAGAAAATTTGTTTTTGCTCAGATTTTGAGTCCTGAATCGAGTTTTGGAAGTCCGAACACTGTTCTCTACATTTGTACTGCTTTATAAACCTCAAACCGCAGTGTGGACAGCGATAGTTAGTGATGTGGTTAAGTTCGATTTGAGATTTTTTACTTTTTGGTGGGGACATGTTATGTATAAGATTTAGATGGGATTGGTTAAAATATTAACTGTATTTTTATAAAAAATAACTAAAATTAAATAAATAAAAACAGCTGCTATATTGTGGTGCGCTTATAGTTATGACCCGGGGTGTATTGGTGCTATGCAATCAAAACATACTGAAAAACTTACATCTTTTGCATTTTCAGACACGTTGACATCTTCCGCTTCTGTAGTCGCTGCAGTCGAAGCGGCAGACTTATAGTCTATGCTGTCAAGCTCGCTGGCATCTTTCGGGCTAACCAATATGTCCCACAGCAATGATTCGATATAGTAATTTGTGCCGCCGACCACGATCGGGCACTTGGATTGCGCTAAAAGATTTTCGATCTAAACATGTTTTGGAGTTAAGGAAAATTTTTGATGTGACAGGCCATTTTTCCATATAAGAAATATTGTTTTTGATATTTTTTCGCAATTTGTTTCATTACGCGATTACTTTACAGCAGTGGTAAGCTGTAAAATAGCCTAACAATAAAACAGTTCGACTTCGCATCTCACCCAGAGCTTAATTCGCAAAATACCCTTCCTGCTTATCGCCACTTTCGTAGTTAATTTAACGCTCCTTTTTATTTTTCACCCACTTCCTATTTAACAATTAATTTTTTCAAAAGCTTCATGGCGAAAAACATCAACAATTTTTCGATCGGCTTTCAAACAAAATTGTCTATAAATATTTCTTGATTAACAAAAACTAATTTTAAACCATTTATTGTTTGACCACCGCCAACAAAACAAATCAAAATTAACGGTAATTCTAAGAGGAAATTTTAAAATTCGCAGCAAACAATTTGTTAGTAAACAAAGCAAGTACTACGCAACCGAACCAGAATTGTTACGGAGTGTCGGAATTGTAGCGGCATACCTACCGCCGTGGTCTGTTATTAAGACACAGTAGCATAGCAGCGGTTCAGCAAATTACCTAGGCGGCAGGATGTCAGGGCTTTCTATGGTATTCAATGGTCTGTTGGTGGGTGCCTCGGGCCTTGCCTTGTACTCCATACAGCCCGCCGAACATCCGTATGCCTTCTCCGCCTGCGCTTTTGGTCTCTGCCATGGTTTGTTGGGTATTATACACGCCTACAAGAAAGGCGACGAAGGTGATCGTTGCAATAAGATTCGTGAGATATCCACCAGTGTTATGGAGATCATACAGTTGCCGCTGATAAATATTGAATTGTACTTAGCATCGTCTGAAACTAGCGCGTTGGCATTGGGACACGCACTTTTTGTTATACCGTTGGCCTTTGATTTGATTGCGAAACTGTTAACAGAGGAGGGCGATGATAGTAATACAAATACACTGAAGGATCTTACGATATTGGGCAACATTGTGTCGTTGACATTTTTAGCCGTCAATGAAAGCAACCACACTTATATATGTATGGCTATAACCGCCTTTCTGACCAAATATGGCGCCACACTGTTGGACAGTTATTGGGAGGGCACACTCGAGAACACTGTACTCACCGGTTATTCGCTGTTTACATTCCTGGCTAATTACGCTCTGACTGGCAAGCCAGAATGGATGAAAATGTGAGGTGGAGTAGGAGATTTAAGAAAATTTGTAGCCAAAGTATGCATGTTGGCATATAATTTTAAAATAAAAATTATTTAATATTGTATTGTACTAAATACAGAAACTTGAAATTAAAATTGAACTTAAGTGTTTTAATAGTAATTTTAAAGTACAATTGATTTAATTTAACTTTATTAATGCGGTATGTCAAACCTCAGCTAGTATGGCATGAGAAATTTAGTCACATAGTATACGCAAGGTTAATACCACTTGAGCTTAGGAGGACGGCCTACTTTATACCCCCAATCATATTTTTTTTCTTATGAACCCTTTCGATCATATTAAAGCGTGGCCAATAGAGTGCAGTAGTCGTTAGTTTCATCTTTTTAATACTGTGAAAAAAAAAACGATTTTATAGTATCTAATGTTAATAAATTTTGCGTTGTATCATCCACTTACCCTAATCGCTTTTTTCCTACCCGGAAATGCCTTACTAATCTGAGGAAACTCGAGCAGCCAATGAAAAATAAAGAAGACCTTCTAATAGTTATATAATAGACGAGAATATGTTTTTCAAAGAAATTGAAATTAAATTTAAATGATATCTACAAAATTAAATAGTCAAAACTTCTAGGTGTCGTATAGTTATGATACTATAGGTTGAGGCTAAATTTCCCAGATGTTCAGGAAATAAATGCAGCGTTCTACACAGCTGAAGACACCACTGCCCTTACTTGTTTTTGCAATGACTGAAACTGGGCGATTGCTTATTGAAAGTACATACCTACTGTGTGTAGATGTGTATTTATATTTACTTAAAAAATCATCGACGAACTTTGCGTTTGTTTAATGACATTGTTTTATCGGTCAAGAGCAAGAAATATTTTGCGGACTTTATGCTTACACACATAAACAAATAACTAAGTACTTATGTTCATATGAATGTCCATTAGGGCAGAGCAATGGCATAAAATCAATCGAGTTTGCCAAATTGCGAAAATAGGTTTATTCAATTGTGTAAAAAATTTCATATTTTCTTACGCTATAAAAGAAAAAAAAAATACATTTTACTTTTCCTTGAATATTTTTTCATACCTTTAGTGCGGTTTTCTCATGTAGGTTTTAAAATTTATCTGCCCTTTAAACACAAATTTTGTTCTGAAAAAATGTGTTTTGGGGGCCAGATAAATTTTAAAACCTACATGAGAAAACGGCACTTAGTTGTATAATTGCATCGCGATGTGCAATTGACAAAAACCGATAAATAGGTTTGGCAAAGACATTGGAAAGTAGATCGAAAGTACTTCGAATGGAAATTAAGCAAGAATTGCGGATGTATAATTTGAGAAAATGGAATTAATTTACTAAAAATTTGTATGAAACTGGAATTTGCTATTGAATTTTAGTTGCATGAAAAAAAATTCAGGGAAAATTTATATAATAATTTTTTTTAATTAGGAAAAAGTGGAAACTGTTTACTGTTGCGGACTCTCGCAGCGGTTTTAAGGAAAAGTTACGTCTAGAAATGGCTTCCTCAAGCAAAAAAAAAATCGCATGCTGCTAAGGAAAAAGCCTAATCTCGCAATTTGGCAAGCTCGAAATGGGTTTTAGACTTACGGTTTCCTCGACAAAAAAAAAAATCCCACAAAAATTGACCCGCCCTAATGGCCATACATAGTAACATATGAAATTATGTACATATAAATGTGTGTATGTATGTGCAAGTGAACATGCATTTCCTCTCGTGCGACTATTTATTTACGGTTCGTGTTAAAATATGAATTTTTTCTTGTTTTCATATCGCGTCCTATGGCTGATTAGTTGTTGTTGTTAAATACTTAACTAAAGAAATGCAAGCAAAAAACATTAGCAACAACAATGGCCGCGGCAAAATAAAAACATTAATAAATGTTTATACTGTGCTCGATATACAACAAATACAGAGGCGTCTACCGAATTTGTATAAGTCCATATGTACATATGTATGTATGTATGTATGTTTGCATATGCATGTTTGTATACATACATACAAATTTGTATTCGCATAAAGATATGAAGTGTACTCGTACTCGTATGATGCATACAACAAAAAACACCTTTTGTTGTTGGCTGCATGACTGGTCATACCGACCGACCGACCGAGCGATCGACGTCTGTTCTCCACTTATGCTCCACGTCAATCGCATTGTGCACGTGTGTGTGTGTGTGTCTGCGTGCGTTAGCTTGCGAATTCGCTGATGCGTCTGTGCGGCTGGCGGCTTATCTCGGCGCCCCCCGCCCCTCGCGCCGGCCATGCGATTGAACTTTGAGTGCGCATGCAATGCGGTTTGTTTATTAAAAGCGAATTGCTTAAGTGGAGCCATGGCCAAAAAGCCGGCCGGTCCCGCGTCTGGCTACACCCAAGCAGACCCGGCGTCCAAAAGCCGCAGCGTATGGATGCATGTGCATATGTTTGAATGTATGTATATATTGTCTTTGTCTTCTCGACTAGGGTTGCCACCATAATTGGTAGAAAAAATTAGGGTTGGTAAAAAGGTACATTTTGGTAGAGCTTTGTTGAACTTTTCGTTCCCGCTTTATTTTTCGTAGTTATCTTTATATTATAAATTTTTTGTATACTTTTTATATACTTACATATGTAGGTACGTATAAATATATATGTAGATATCGATATAAGGCGAACATATCGCGCTCCATTCAAAACACATTTTACTGGAATCCCGAGGAGCTTTTGATTGCCTAAATATTTTAAATGATGATTTAAATAAAAAGAAAAAAATGACAGTTATGTAAGTACGCACTATGATTGTTCGCAAAAAAAATTAAATCAACGCCATTTTTATCAATGGTAATTTTTAAATAAATAAAAAAAAAAAACAAAACACTGGCGGCAAAAAATTAAAAAAAAAATCAACGGGAATTTTAAGCAGCACATTTTTGACTACACTCAAATATTATTTGCTATAAAAAAGTTCTCGGTAGATATTTTGCATATTTGTAAGATTTTTTTTAAGTGGATGGTAAGTATATTTTACCGTCAATGGCAACACTGCTCTCGACATCTGCGGCGCATCGCCTAATGCAACACACGTACTTAGTAGCCGGCCGGCCGGCAAGCGGTGGCTATTGGTTTTTGTTTTGTTTACCTATTGACTCATTCATACAGGTTTTTGAACTTGCACAAGGTTTGCGCGCAGTCGCGTCTGCCTGCCTGTGCTTGACTGGCCGCCTGGCGTTTCACCACTGCAAGACGCTAAAAAGCTTATTTTTTCTGTTTTGTTTTATTTTCTTTGGCACTACGAAGTTTTCAATTTTTTATTTTGTTTATGCACTTTTTTACCCGCCTGATTTTTTTTGTTTACATATGTATAAACATACATACATACTATGTATGCAACCATGTACATATTCTTCGGTTATGTTTTTATCGCATTTTTTCGATTTGCGTGCAATTCATGGCGTTCGCCACATTTTTTTAATTTTATTTACCCGTTGGTTTTAAAAAAATTTCTGGTGATGAGGGGGCGTACCTGTTGCCCGTTTCATGTTGCTGACAATGACTTTGTGTTTCTTCGAAACTTGGCATTTCTTTCAACTTGAACCGCATTACTTCGCCATCTACCTAAATCTTAATTAGTTGATATGTTAACTCTCGATTGCATTTCATTAACGATCGCCGAAATCGTTTAGGAGCCCATTCACTCGAAAGCGCTGAAAGTGACAACATTTTAAAAGCCCATCATTTAGCTCTTTTTTTT